ACACTTAACCGACTAAGCCACCCAGGCGCCCCAAAATCTTGTCATCTTTAAATAGTGACAAAGTATTTCCATGATATTGGTGTTAATTTTTGGGGAACAATTTTGGAAAGATTCAATGGTGAGGCCAAATGGTAGTAGGTTTTTCCTTGTAAGAAGGATCTTGGTATAAGTCTCTCTCACCACCCCCCCACACACACACACCATTCAGTTCTGCCCAACTCACTACCTGTGATTTAATCATGATCTTTTCCTACTCTCTGAACTACACAGGAGGGGGAAAAAACCCTAATTCTTAGTGTTTCCCACTAAGCATTTTCATGAAAGTTTCTAACAATGTGAAGTTTCAGAATTTCTCTTGAAAATTTTGCAAAAGCTTTCATTTCCTTCCCCCCAAAAAGCCATATTTATTTTCTCGTGGAAATAAAGTTGCAAAAAACTAGTTGACCCTGCAATGGTGCAGGGGTTTAGGGCACTGAACCCTGTGCAGTCACGAATCTGTGTATAACGTCGGACTCCCCCCAAAAAGTAACCACTCACAGCCTATGTTTGACCAGAAGCCTTACTGATAGATAACACAAGGATCTGGTTAACGCATATTTTGTACACTGTATGTATTAAATGCCATACTTCTAAAGTACGCTACCGAAGACAAAACATTACGAAAATCACGAGGACGCAAAACCACATTTATAGAACTGTTCTCTGTGTATTGGAACGACATCTGCATACGAGTGGACCCACAGTTTAAACCTGTGTCATTCGAGGGTCAACTGTAGGAACCACTGACATTCCAGCAAGATGTACAACTTTTATACTCAGGGTCTTATGCTCTTGAAGCACATCGCACCACCTCGGATATGTTCTTCCCTTCAGAGAATCAGAGCTGATCTTATCAAGGCTCAGAGTCAAGGTCATGCCCCACTTGCAGGTGTGAAGGAAGAGCGCACAGGTGCAGAATGGAATCTCCTGGTCTGGAATGTTGCAGGTTCTAAGATGGAGGGGCTTTAGTGGAATGAGTGCTGGGAACCTCACCTGTGAAATGCACCTGTCACCAGAGCACAGCTGAGATCTTGAAAGTCCATAGAAATAGCAGGCACTGTTTGGATCACTGGGAAAAAGAAGGAAAAACACAAACGGTGCCACACAAACCATCTTATCAAAAGAAAATTCCTGGGAGGCTGATCTGCACAAGTCACCAAAGTGAATATATTAAGTGTACTTGATTTGTGATCATTTATTTATACCCCACGCATTCCCGGTTTCAAACTTCTACTCCTGTGATGCAAGTGACTTTGACAGCTTGCGACTCGGCTGTAATTTTCCTTCTGTCAGGAGAAGGAGGTGTGTAATGGTATAGGTCAAGACATTAGTGTGTGCAGAGTAAAGGCCTGTTTACTGAGATCAAGACTTAAAACCTTCCTCATTCCATCCAAGCTACGTCTATCCAAGCACTGAAATTTGTATAAGGCACTGTTTTTTTTTAATATTTTTTAACGTTTATGTATTTTTGAGAGGGAAGAGGAGGGGCAGAGAGAGAAGGGGAGAGAGGATCTGAAGCAGGCTCTGAGCTGTCAGCACAGAGCCCGATGTGGGGCTCGAACTCACAAGCCATAAGATCATGACCTGAGCCGAACATCAGATGCTCAGCCGACTGAGCCCTCCAGGTGCCCCAGGCATTATTTTTGATGTCGTAGAATCTGGGATTCCACATGTAATTTTTTTCTTAGAAAAATGCTTTTTTGTTTTTTGTGTGCATGTGACAGGGATGGACTACCCCAAATTATTCACTAACCTCAGTTGATGATTACAGCGCACTCATGCTCTCTAGAAACTCTTCATTTCTCAAGCCAATAGTTTGCGAAGAATTCCAAACGCCATTTAACCCGTCAAGGTCAGAATACCCTACAGCCAGTGGCGGCTGAAAACCACATTCCATCTGGTGAATATGGACCAAAACTTATTAGCATTTAGATGATTCGGCACATTTAAATTTCCTTCTACTTGTACTCCTGAAAATAAAAAGTTGTTGATGTTCTGACATAATTGGATCAAAACCTTTTAATACAAATCCTTCTAGAATCTGTCATCCCTCTGGAATCTGGTTTTAAAAGGCATATTTATGCTCCTTCTAAGAATCTCTAACACGTCATCCCTCAAATCCTGCTTTATTCCGTCCCATGCTGTCTCTTAAAGTAAGAATCCTTAAAATTTTAATATAGGCACACCAATAAGGAATTAATTCAAGAACTAACTCTGCCACGGTGGGGAGGGGGGGGCCATGGGAGAAATATGTGAAGGGGATCAAGAGGTAGAAACTTTCAGTTATAAAATCTATGTCATGGGGATGAAAAAAAAAGAATTAACCCTGATAATTTCTAAAGATAGTTCTCTGACTCTATCCCCTAACTGGGATAAATCCTACAAGCAAAAAGAACTGCGAAGAAAAACCTGAACTTTACTCAGTAGGCTTCCTGCCAGTGATGGTATAAATAGAAGGTCTCCAGGGTATATTATGGGGAAGAACAAAGCAGTAAATGTATTGATGGCAATGGGTTACATACAGAGATGGGGAAAAGCAGGGATAAAGACAGCGACCAAAAGAGATACAGCAAAAATGGCAAAACATTAGCGACTGGTAAATATAGTGAAGGGCATACGCCTGTTCATTGTAACATTCAACTTTTCTGTAGGTTTGAAACCTTTATAAAGTATCAGGGACTGAATGGAGTGTCCGCGTGGCTCAGTTGGTGAAGCGTCTGACTCTTGATTTCATCTCAGGTCATGATCTCATGGTTCATGAGATCGAGCCCCATGTGGGACTCTGTGCTGACAGGGCGGAGCCTGCTTGGAATTCTCTCTCTCTGCCACTTACCTGCTCACGTGCCCATGCACACCCTCTTTCTCTCCCAAAATAAATAAGTAAACATTTTTTTAACGTCTTTACTTTTGAGAGAGAGAGAGCGAGAAAGCGAGCACGTGAGTGGGGGAGGAGTGAAGAGAGAAGGAGACAGAGGATCGAAAGCAGGCTCTGTGCTGACAGCAGTGGGCCCAATGCGGGGTTCAAACTTATGAACCAAGACGTTATGACCTGAGCTGAAGTCAGATGCTTAACTGACTGAGCCACCCAGGTCCACTTAAATAATTTTTTTTAAAGTTTCAGGTATTGGAAATTTCTCAAAGATTGAAATCACATCCTCTCATCTTTTGGAAACATCCAAACAAAGATTCCCTATCAAAGGCCAAAACTTCATTTCTTATCATGCTTGGCAAGAGAAATAACACTGTCTTAGATACTTGGGGATGCCAGGTTTGTGAGCAATCTATATTTAGACCAACCGCTAAATAGCACCGACTCAATGAGAGGTTACTTGTGCAGTGCACAGCTCTGCACCCAGCCCTTGAGCTGATGCCGCAGCCTAGACATGAGCCTCCCTCATCTCTGGATGGACCACAGGCACCGACCCACTCCTCAGCAGGTGCGCTTCCTTCCACACCTCCACGAGGGCTGCCAGCCTCTCTACCAGCCTCTCCTTCCCCACCCCGACTCCATTCTGGCCGATTCTCACACAGACACTAGCAATGAAAGCCGCACTGATGCCCCTGCCACCCACAGCTGGCACTGTGACCTTCTTTTGCGAAGAGCTTCGTCTGTGCTCAAAGGCCCCCTCAATCTCATGGCATCTCATGGCATCAGTCCCCGCGGTTTTCATCCTTCACAATTAATACCCGCAAAGCAGCTGACCCCAAAGAAAGCACGCTTTCCAAGATCTCTAACGCCGTCCACTTCCATTCAAAAGGCTGAGCAAACAGTGCCTCCACAGCGTGAGGCAATGCGGTGAGCTTCCTGCACTATCAAAAAAACTCACTTCCCAGGATCTCGGTTCCCTCTTCCATGCATTTATCACAGTGATGCAGTTGGGCATCTGCATCCACCTTGTGACGGGCATCCATGGCGCCCCGCCACCTGCACGGTTTTGACTGGCATGACTGTAGACCCTGAGAATTGTCTCGAACACCAGCACCAGCCGTGTGCGGCCACCGGCCACATGAAGAGGTACATCCCATGGCTTCCAGCTCTCAGGCCAGCGACCCCACAACGATGTGCGGACGCCCTCGGAAGACGGCCCACTCCTTCTCTGAAACGCTCAGGCCAGGGGACTGCTTTCACCTCTCTGAGCCGATCTGTGGCTTTCACCAGGAGCCCTCACGCCGTGTCCTGGGGCCGTGCGGACACAGCCTGAGTCCTCTCGCAGGTGAGGGACTCAAACTCTCGAAGACGCGATCGTGAATCCAGAGTCCGCTCACTTCCAACTCAACTGCTCTACCCAGTGGTCCTCTTGAGCCATCACTCCTCAGCCCGCCAGCCCTGGGAACACACTCCTGCCAAACACCCTCTTCAAGTGCAGTGCCCACACGGTGTTCAGTACTTCAGGTACAAAGTCATTCTCGTTATTTGGGACACAGAAACGCTCTCTCTTTATAAATTATGATCAAGGACATCCTGCCAGTCCTTCTTCATAAAGCAGATGAGGCTTTTGATCTACCACAGGCTCTCACCGGAGAGGGGGTTTCTCATCCTGCCTAATTTACTTATGAAAAATATTCAATTATGCTCCCAGTTTAATTCGCTTAGTAATGAAAAGCAAATGAGCCCGACCGGCATGTTTGATTTGTCTCGGAAAGAGAGAAACTGCTTTGCCAGAACAAACAAAGTTAAATTAAAACAAGTAGACTCTCCTCGCTCTGGAAATTGAAAATCTCCACAAAGCGCCTCCCGATATCCTAGAACACGGGGGTGACACCACCGAGGGAGAGGATGCATCCCGATTGGCCCCTGGGGCCGGCGGTCATGTTCTGGGCCCTCGAGGGCATGTGGACAACGTTCCAACCCACGCATGCATACGGCTTTGTCTATTGTTGCCCACGAAGTAGGCGGTGAACACATACAGGGCGTGTGGCCACGGGCAGGATGTGGCCCCATTGACGAGCATCTCACTCACCATTTTTGCAGATGGGGCAGCACTGGTCAGGCTCGTACACGGGGTCCACACACTCCGTCTGCGGACATGCGGACACGGTGCACAGCACCTCCCCGTTGGCTTCGCAGCGGCACCGCTCACACGGAGACACCTGGAACACAAGGCCACGGTTGGGTCAGACCTCCCGTCATGCAACCCTGCAGACTCCTGTCTTCCTTCCCCCCAAACCTCCTGTGAAGCCCCCCGCCCCCCGCCACGTGGTTTAGGAATTCTCCAGGGGCGCCTATGTGGCTCCGTCCCTTAAGTGTCCTACTCTTGGTTTTGGCTCGGCTTCTGATGTCAAGGTCGGTGAGTTCGAGCCCCAGGTCAGGCTCTGCCATGTGCGGAGCCTGCTTGGGATTCTCCCTCTCCCTCTCTCTGTCTCTCTGTTCCTGGCTCTCTGCCCCTCTCCCACTTGCACTGTCTCTGTCTCTCTCAAAACAAATAAATAAACTTTAAAAAAGAGTTAAAAAAAAAAAAAAAAGAAGTATCCAGCCCAGTGGTTTGCAGAGTGGTAACAAAGCCAGGGTGCTAGAGCCCAGCCCGTCTCCTTTGGGGGCACCTGGCTTGTCCCTGTCAACCCTGCACAGAGCGGCTGTGTTTTAGAGATCAGCGCCTTGCGCTTCTTTACCAGCTTTCTTCTGAGGACAGGTCTTCCTTTACACGTTGAACAGATGATTCATCATATAGAATTCTTGCCTAATAGTTCATCAGATGAGCCGCGTTCCCATAGCCCTGCCGGGTGCCACTGGGTAGACGGGAAGGGAAAGGGGCGAGGAGAGGAGGGACCTGGCCGGGAGCTGTGTAGATATGACCTCACTTAACCTCCACATCAGCACTAGGATCCCGCCACCCCATCATCAGGGGGCAGACACAGGTGCCGGGCAGCTGGCCAAGGGCAGATCTTTTGTAAGAGCCCAGATGGCCCCCTCCCCCGAGCTCCCCGTTCATCAAGGGATGCATGGCCCTCTGTGCTGGGCTTGCACTAGCCTTGCTGTCCTACACTGGCCCCAATTCCACCTTCCAGATCCTTCCAATCAAGCACAGTAACATTCCTGGAAAGGCTGCACACCGCCAGTTCGATCCCGCCACAACGACAACCCATGCTGTGATGTGGAGGCTTTTTTTTTTTTCCTGGAAATCCCAGACACCGTGTTGGGCTGATCGGCGACAAAGCAGAAACGGCAGATGCAGACCCAGCAGTGGGACACAGACGCAGCGACGTGGAAATGTGTGTCTTAAAAGATCGTGGAGGGGGAAGGATGTCATGCTGAGCAACCCGGGGCAGGGGTCCCGGGTGACTTTGCCTGCCACACTCATGACCCAGCCGGCACTTGTGAGGTGGAAAATGCCAAGGACGGGGCTCACGGGTGCACCTCTATCCATCCAATGCCAGGAATAAAAACTCAAATCTCCACCCCAGGGCCTGGTTGGTGCCGAAGCTGAAGCAAAAGCTCGGTTTGTGTTTAAATGTTTTTAATGTTTCTTTATTTACTTAGAGAAAGCGCAGGTGTGCATGATCAGGGGAGGGGCTCTGAGAGAGGGAGAGAGAGGGGGAGAGAGAGAGAGCCAACCGGGCTCCATGCTGTCAGAGCACAGCATGACACGGGGCTCAGTGTCACGAACCGTGAGATCATGACCTGAGCCGAAGTCAAGAGTCAGACTCCCAGGTGCCCCGCTTGCGACTTCCTTAAAGGTTCTGCAACGTTATCAAAAATTCAACTGTGAGTTTTGCTTACAGAGGCGGGATCACCATAATTGAGTGTGTCACACTCAGGCCTCCGCTCCTGCGTGGCCTGCCCTCTTCAAGCCCCAGGTCGGGGCTCGTACAGGGGCACAGCCCCATTGAACCCCACACAGAGCCAGGCTGGCCACAGCCCCACCAGCGCCCTCAGGGGACACCATGTCCACTGCTGTCCCACTTGGGCCAAGACTCCCCCAGACACCGTTTGCAGGTCTTCAGCCTGCTCTGAGTCAGAGGTCCCCACCCGATCACGGTGCCTGGGACCCTGTCCAGGACTGAGGTCACCTCATAGAACTCTCCAGTCTCCCACAGATGTCCTGCTGGGCCCTTCCACCACTCTCTGGGTGTCTGGCCCTAATCACTGATGCTTAGACTTCACCTCACTAACGGCCAGGCCGGCCGCGACCCCGCACACTAACGTACTGCCAACCCCAGTCTGCAAAGTGTGGCCTCACCAGACCGAGTCAACTGCTCTGCATTTCTTTTTCTTTTTAAATTTTTTTAACGTTTATTCAGTTTTGAGAGACAGAGTGTGAGCAGGGGAGGGGTAGACAGAAACGGAGACATAGAATCCGAAGCAGGCTCCAGGCTCTGAGCTGTCAGCACAGAGCCTGAAATGGGGTTTGAACTCATGAACCGTGAGATCATGACCCGAGCCGAAGTCGGATGCCCAACTGACTGACCCTCCCCAGGTGCCCCTGCTACTTTGCATTTCGATGGCTCGACTGCACTATCCTGTCGCCCAGGAGAGGCTCCCGTTGGGTGGCCCCCACCTGTCCTAGCCCTGGCTCGCATGCCCCCGTGTAGGAAGCCACCTCCGCAGCACAGGCGCACCAGGCCTCTCTTCTCGTTAAGCCCGTCGCGGCACTCAGGGGACGGAGGAAAGGTGGCCAAGTTGCAAACCACAAAAACCCATCTGCCCTCGAGAACTCAGCAGCCGGCAGCAGAAGATGCAGCCATTGAAGTTCATGGTCACCCGGTCACCGAGGAAAGGTGTGATGGGACCCAGCTGGACTCGGGCCAGCAGTTCTCCTGGCTGCCAGTCCCACCCTGCCTCTGCACCACCTACACACACGGGGACTGTCAGGGCGCCTGTCGTATCCTAATGAGAGCACCTTCTGCTCAGGATCCTCTGTGCCAGAATCGCCAGGATCCTCTGCTGATGGAGAAGGGGACAGGCTGGCAAGAAGATGGGCAGTTACAGCCTGTGATCCCAAGAACCTCGACACAGGGCTTGGCTCAGCAGTCATCGGGGTCCATCTGGCATTCCGGGTGACAGTGACCCTCTTTCTGGTTCATCTCACCATGACACACACATGGCTGGACACCCCCCCCAACCACCACCACCACTCTCACCATGGTAGCAGGTGCGGATGGTTGATCCCAGCATCTGGGGGAGGTTTGCCTGTCCTGTGACACCACTACATTCCAAGCAGCCATTCTGACTCTAGCCACCAGGTCTGAGCACCCCCAAAGCTGCAGCGTCCCCAACTGCCACCCCCTGTTCTCTGTCCCACTGTGGAAACTAGAAGTAAACCCGCCCAGTGCACAACTGCATCTGTGACCCGCAACACAGACTGCCCAGGCAATCAACGTGCAGTCAAACGTGGCCACCCTTTCTCCTCTTCCAAAGTTGTCCTCATCCTGAAAGACATTTCTCCGGGGCCAATCTAACTTCAAAAGAACACGACCTCTAGTTAGCAAATCACAGCCTACACGCGGTATCATGTGCCTTGTGACAGAAATACCCTTCTTTGCAATCTAACAGGTACAAATCCAGGTTTTAAATAGACAAATATTTTTAAATATTTATTTACTTATTTAATGAGAGAGATAGAGAAAGGGAGAATGAGTGGAAGAGAGACAGAGGGAGAGAGAGACAGAGAGAGGGGGAGGGAGGGAGAGAGAATCTCAAGCAGGCTCCACACTCAGTGCAGAACCCAATTCAGGGCTCCATTCCATAGCCCTGGGACCATGACCTGAGCTGAAAAAAGAGTTGGATGCTTAAAAGACTGAGCCACCCAGGCGCCCCTTGAAAGGATAGAATTTAGATGCATCGCCTAGAAGAACATGTGGGCATTTGAGGAAAAGTCTCTGTCCTCAAGGCGGCTGCTAGGTGACAGGAGTGGACAGAACATGGGTTGGATAAGGACACTGGTAACTGGGCGTGACACTAAAGAGAAGCTCTGTGGTAATCCTTCATTCATCCCAGCCATAAACCCAGGCCAACCAACACCACTTCCGCCATTTTCCTGGAAGGTAAGAGCACATGCGCGAGAGCTGGGGGTGGTTCAGAAGGCCATGCGCCCTGGGGCCAGCTTCAAATCCAGGGTCTCCAGTCTGAAGACGCCGTCCTGGCTTCCTCAGCCACCACTGCTTACACAAATGACAGGTCTTCAAAGTGGATCTAAGAAATTCACCCTCACGCCTGAAGCAGAGCAAGCAGGGACGGACGTTCCCAACGAAGCGACTAGAAGTACAATGTGCACAGCAGAGGCTCCGGAGAGAGATTAACTTGAGAGTAACTGATAATTAGTTAGACCTTCATAATGCCCAGTAATTATACACCTGTCTGCATCACACATATACGGGCAATAAGGACTGTAAACTAAAGACTGAACCTATTTCCAAACAAATAATTAGGAACAGGAACCATAATTTATAGATGGGACAAGTCTTAAATGCGAAGTGATGCCTAACGCAAATGGATATTGCTTCACTCAAGAGCCTCGTACACAAAAATCTGTATCAGGCGGGTACAGAGTTTGAGTGGAACACTTCTGTACAAGCTGTGCAGAAGCAGCTCTGTATTTTAGCACATGTATCTTACGTTAATGAACTCAGTGCCAATTAGGTGCTGAGCTGTAGTAAGGGCTACCTTGTGTGATTGGTAGCTGTGGTTGTAACCATTATAACCATGAGAAGGGCCAGGCTCCAAAATGTCACAGAAAGCACATTGACTATGAATCTCCTCCTTGCCTGTGTCTCAGGTCTCTTTCCACTCTGGGAGGCAGAAACTCACTTCAGACCCTTCCTCCTTCTTCCTTCCCGTACGGCGGATTCACTCACCACCACCCACCAGAAGGCACCTGCTTCCCTCAAGTCCAGCCTAAGAGCCATTGGCTGGGTGAGAGGCAAACAATGCCATGTGTCACCTGAATCCTGCTGCCTGAATGGCGACCACCACTATATTCCAATCTGGAACTTTCTACTGCAACTTCTGGAGAAGGTGCCATGAAACCCCCGGCCACCAAATAAATGCATTGGCTCCTAGTGGCCAGGGAGCAATTCTGGGCTAAACGCAGATGCTTCCTTAAGAGCAGACAAATGGGAGGCAGGAACATCCCTGAGCAATTTCCCAAGAATTG